AAATCAAAACATATTCAGAATCATTGCCTGATCTAACATCAGCTGCATCAAACACTTTACCTGCGTTCACATCATTATTAACCATCATTTTCATTTATATGCAAACAGTGCAGTTTTGAATTATTCTTAGTACATTATGAGCACTAGATTTATATCAATTGTGGTCTGAAATATGACGAGATTGAAATCAAAACTGATTCAAACATTAAAACATGTAGTATAAAAAACATGGTAGGAAAAGTTGATCATTCTTAACGAACCAGTCTGATTGGGTTTTTATAAAACTACAGATACCATTAGAACTAAGTGAAATATGCAGTTTTGTAGAGAATCAAACGAGGAATCTTTTGCTAAAAGAAAATATTCTTTTCCATCTTGACACATAGGTGAGATATATGCAAAATACTGAGAGGTCCATTCTTTATGACCCATCCATTGTATTAAGCGAAACAAAAAAGAATTCACTCTAACGATGCAGAAATGAGGACTAAATGTAAATTTTTTTTTTCGTTCTTTTCCCACCTGTATAGGTTCTGCGTGATTCACTTGTTATCAAACTTCTAATAAGGAAGGGTTAGAAAGTGTAACACTGCTTTCAACCAAAAACTTGGTGGATAACAGGTAATCGAGTGAACTGATCATGAATATCACAATGGTTTTTGCTGTTAGGCCCTTACATGTGATATGAAACAAACATAAGTATAAAGATTGTCTCATAAGTTCCGGAAGCATTTTGAACTTTTTTGTATTTTGGGAATATACAAAGTTGGACAGACATTGAGGATGTATATTCAAGTGGTGATGGCTAAGCTATTTTATTATTAGGGTAGTGTTAAATTAGATTTGGACAACGGGTTTTTTTACATGTTCTAGATAAAAATATAACGAAAAGAAAGTAAAAACAAATGTGATAAAATTATTTTAACATATATTTTTTAGTGAGGCACTTCCTGGCTGATGATACCAATTGAGTGCAATGAGTTTCGAATAATAGCTCAAATGTTACTTTTCAAATATATCTTCAATGTCTATAACAAATTCTATTCGCTTCTTTCTCATCCCTGCTGACATGAACAGAAAAACTACATATGGTAGTTCTATCTTGCTCTAGACAATAAAAAGCCATATAGAACTGACATTATTAGTAATATCTGACCAGTTCCCATACAACTAGTTTGTAACGTCATAGCAAAAGATTTCGATGGAAATGTCAAAAAAGTGTAAAGAGTAGCCTGTAACTAATTGCTGGTTTAAAAGTATTGATCTATCGACTAGATGAGCTTTTACTTGACTATACGGGGGAAAAAATACAACAAGTTCTCGAACAATCTGTTGTGCTATGTATGATAAAAATGAAAAAGATACGAAGAAAAAAATCAGCTACCTACACGAAGCAAAGAGAAAAATAATACTATGACATGAAGAATAGATGATTGAGTGAGCAGTCAACCGATACATACGAAAATTAACAAGGTAATAGAGAGATGGAAAAAACCAAACTGGCAATAACGGAAGAGAAAAAAATGAAAAAATAGAGGTATAACGTGTTCGTGAACGACTGGGTCATTAAAATCATCTTTTATTAGCTTAAAATGTGTTCCGAAGATGACAATACTGTAAGAAGCATTTTCGATAAAAAAAAAGTGTTTTATTATTGTAAGAAGAATCATCTTGATTGATGTAAAATCAATCTAGTGTTCTGTAATGTAAGAGTAGAAAAATGTATTTTTATTTTCTGTTTATGTTTTCCAAATAAAAAATGATTTACTCCATCGATTGTGTTTCCATTTCTTTCCAATACCTAACACATGGTTTTTGAGAGATCTCTTTCGATTGTTGCAATCATTATGGGCTAATATTGGGATTGCATATATGTTGCACCAACTGTTTTTCGATATAGAGAAAAACATTTGCTCTGCACCGTACTCTTATGTGAGTGTCATATGATCTCTGAAAAAATGAAGTTTTCATGATTAACTGGGTGTGGGTGTGGCTGTAGCTGTGGGACAAAGTTTTCCATTTACATCCACACTCATAGCCATCTCCACTCCACACCCACCCACACCAACACTCACACTCACCCACACCCTGTCTAGATTATACTTGTACAGTGCTAGCAGCTCATCGTGTTTCACATTTTTAATCTCGCAGAGATTGTGCTAACAGCTTTTTTAATTAAAAATAAATATTCAATCTGAAAAACGTCTTTTTGTTATATAATAGATAAATTTTTCAAAATACATGCGAAGCTAAATGTATGAAAAGAAAAATGGTGATTTCGTTCTTTTCTTCTGTCTTACGCAATCGGCGTCTTTCTTTCATGTGAAACATCAAAGTAAGTCAATAAACCTTCGCAAGCGGATGATTCTCTTTAATTTCGCAATCATATTGAAGCACACTATCAAAAAAAAATGATCGTCACAGCAGGGAATCGAACCCTGTTCTACGGTTCGACAAACCGGTATACTACCATTGTACTACAGTGACCGTGTATTCTTATTTTAATAGTCGAAGATTTTTTTTTCGATTATATCAATATATTCTGTCATATCACAGAGAATATCAAATTTGCTTAGTTTTTCATCATTTTTCTGTGATATAAAACAACAGAGAATAGAATAAAACTATTGTACAATATGAGTAAATCGTAACACAATATATATTCTTGTTAACCAAAAATGTTACCTACGTTATTTCACTGATTTCTGGTTTATACTATTGAATAAAAATTTTTTTTACCAGGAAATACTCAGAACAGACACTGCTGTTAACTTAGTTTTGTTAAATTAATTTTTATACTTCACTTTAGTCGCTAATAGTACCGATGTGTTATCAGTTGTGAAAAAACATTGTTCTTATCAATTCTTCTTGCAATGGTGCAAAGAGCAAACGTGACAATGACAACTAAATGCTTTATTTCACTACCTATTTGTAAAACAGAATACATACAAGCTTTTAACTGACGGTACGTGTATCATAAACAGAGATTCTTAGTTTGAATAGCTGCTAATATAAGCATGAGTCAAGAAAATTCTAGAAAAAAAAGAAACCTGTCACAAGCATCGTTACATCAGTTTTACAATAGCTTTGTCATTATTTGGTTAGACTTAAATGTCAATGAACTGGATGAAAAATATCAAAATCGAATTATTAAACTTCGACAAATATCGGATTCAATACAGATATTCGTCGATGCCAATCATTGTATAGATTTTATTACTGATCTTAAACATGAAAAAGTGTTTATGATTATTTCCTGTGATATTGAATCATGGGTAATTTCTTCTATTCACTCGATCGATCAACTCGATTCTATTTACATATTTTGTGAACATACTGAAAAGCACAACGAATGGACGAAAGACTGGCCAAAAATGAAAGGAGTTTATGCTAATATCGAATCTGTTAGTAAGGCAATCAACCATGAGACTCGTCGATGGGATCTTAGTTTGATCTCGATCAGCATCGTTACATCGACCGATGATTTTAATAAACTTGATCAATCATTTATGTATTCTCAGATGTTAACAGATATTATTCGCAAACTTGAAGACGACCATGGTGAGGCAAAAAACCGATTTGTTAAGTTTCTCCGTCATCAATATGCTGGTAACGATGCACAGTTAAAAATCATTGATGAATTCGAACGAGATTACTATTTGCATTCGCCTGTTTGGTGGTATACTCGGGATATCTTTATGTATTCAATGATTAATCAAGCGTTACGAACACAAGATATTGAAATATTAATGAAAATGGGATTCTTTATTAGAGATCTACATCTTCAAATTGAACAACTGTATATTCAACAATTCAAAAATAAAGAAACATTCATTGTTTACCGAGGACAACGTTTGTCGACCGATGATTTCACGAAAGTTCGCAACAATATTGGTGGTCTATTATCATTCAACAATTTTATGTCCACTAGTGTTCAAGAGAACGTTGGTTCTTCAATCTATGCGGACAGTGCTCGTCAAGATCCAAATACAATTGCAATTTTTTTTCGTATGCGAATTGATTCAGCTGTTACATCGGTTCCGTTCGCATCGGTGAATGATACCAGCTATTTTGGAAATGCAGAGGATGAAATTCTTTTCTCAATGCATACTATCTTCCGAATCGACGATGTTAAATTCCTGGCTGATCGACTTTGGGAAGTACAACTCTCATCTACCAGTGACAACGATCAACAACTGAAACATCTCACACAAACAATTGAAAAAGAAATTCAAGGTGGAATTGGATGGCATCGATTAGGTAGATTATTGATCAAATTAGCTAAATATGAAGAAGCCGAAGAAATCTACAAAGAGCTACTCGATTGGACACCCGTTACTAATTATGGAGAGATTTCAACCTATTATATTCAACTAGCATATATCAGCGGTGAGAACAGTAATCTGATGAACGCATTAGAATATTACTTAAAAGCGCAGAGAATTCTCCAACAGTTTCTTCCTCCAGATGATCCACGTGTAACTATTGTCGAAAACAATATTGGTGGAGTGTACCAATCAATGGGTGATTATTCAAAGGCACTCTTGTCTATGCAAAAAGTACTTCGAGTTCGTGAGGAATCTTTATCTTCGGATGATTTACAATTAGCTTCAACTTACAATAATATGGGCGAAATCTATCGATCAATGAAAGATTATTCAAATGCCTCATCTTTTTACGAAAAGGCACTTCAGATATTTCAAGAAAAATTACCCTCTATACATCCGACATTAGCGATTTGCTACAATAATATTGCTGATGTTTATCATTGCATGGGAAAATTGTCCAGTGCACTTTTCTTCTGTGAAAAAGTACTTGAGATACAACAACGATCGCTTCCTTCAGATCATCCAGATTTAGCAATCACTTATAATAATTTGGGAAGAATACATCAGTCAAAAGGTGATCCATTAACTGCGATTTCATTCTATCAGAAGACGACTGAAATTCGAAAGAAACGCTTGTCTGAGAATCACTTAGATATGGCTCTTACTTATAATCATATAGGTCTACTTTATCAGTCTATAGGAGATTATAATAATGCCATCAGTTTTCAAAGCAAGACACTCGAAATTCAAGAGAAAAACTTGATTTCTACTCATCCTAATCTAGCTGATGCGTACAGAAATTTAGCTAAATCATATCAATCAATGGGTGATTACATCAAAGCATTGCCATTGTATCAGAAAGTCATTGATATTGGCGAACAATCTCCGTCTGAAAATTATCTATCACTGTCTTTTACCTATAATAACATGGGTCAAATGTATCATAGTTCCAAAGATTATACACAGGCGCTACTTTGTTACCAAAAAGCACTAGAAGTTAGCGTAAAATACCTGTCTGAAAACCATTCATTAATAGCTGTCACTTATTTTAATCAAGCCAAGGCATTGGAAGATCTTGGACAACATCAGGCAGCCATCAAGAATTACGAACGTGCAATCGACATCGGTCGACATTCCTTCGAACCAAATGACCATCGCATGCTTCTGTTCCGAACTAGTTTGGAGACCATTCATCAAAATCTGCGAGATCAATAAATAGACCTTTCAAATTCGTAATAAAGTTTGAAAAGTGATTATTCTTTTGCTTATCGTGTAATAACAGAAAACAAATGTGGGCGTGGGTGCGGGGTGTGGTATAGGTGTGAGTGGGACTCAGTGTGGATGTGGATGTACGAGTGTTGGTGCGGATATTCACTTCATCCACACGCACCCATACTCACTGTATCTCGTTTTTTATTATAAATGAAAGAGCTGTCAATATTCGCGGTTGCAAGATCGAATCAGAGATTCCTTAGTAACACGCGCTGCTCACTGAACAATTTCACTTTTCAACAATATTTTGTTTCGAGAAAATATGAATAATTCATGTCCGACATAGGTTAGAACCAATGTGATTTTGTTTTTTCATGTGTTCGTCGACCATTATTGTGTAATACATTCCTCAAATGATCAAGTTCTTTATTGAGCAACCAATCTGTTGAGCATATTCGATATGCTCGTATTACAAGTGATCTGATCAATCACACTTTTTAATTCTGAAACCCGTCAGGAAATGAATATGAGAATTGGATGGAATAATTGATGAAGGATTTTACAATGTACTGAAGATTTGTTACTGGTATTGTATTTAATTCTATTTTCATGATCTTGAACGTATCAAAATGGTTGCAATTGATAAGATCCACGAGAAAAATTGTCTCAATTACTTGGTCTAAGTTATGGTCATACTCAAATCTCTCTCCTTCTACCAGAGAAATAACTCTCTAAAAGAACTCACATCAAACCAAGAAAAAGTGCATTGAAAGAAAAAAGATCAATCAATTGGATTTGAAGATGGAAATCAATTTAGAAATACAACTAGTGATATAGACAGCGGAAAAAATTAAGATTTCCTGGTCCAGTATGGGTGATTGATTCGAAATTATAACACATGATCTTGTTCGACGAGTGTCCAAGAAGCTGAAAAGCGGCAAGAATGATTCGCCTCACATCAAAATAATGAAAACTGGAAAGAAAAATTTTTGAGAACGATGCCAATAGTATTTGTTAGTTTCATTGACAATGCATTGGTTAGAGAACAGTTTGATTTCGAAGATGCTTGTCGATAAATAGGACGATTATTTTCTCCAACCGATTGATCAAGCAGTACAGACAATGACTAAGTTTGAAAAAATTTGGAATACCAGTTAATCGAACAAACCTCCATCGACTGGTTTCGTCAAGGCACCATTGTGATGACATCTGCATCTATTATCCATCGTCAATTTGTCTATAATCAATCCTTTGCAATAAATTTTTGTTCGCTTCGCCTTATCTTTGCTTCCTCCCATCGATTGTTCAAATAGATTTGTTTTATCCTTTGGCATTACAATCTGTTTTTCGTTTGTCTCTGGTCTCAGCTTTGATAGATACAATCGATTTCTGTTGGATGATTTTATTAACGGGCCGTTTTAATGGCACTTGTTTCGAATGCTCATCATCAATTCGTCGATGCAATAGTTTTCAAGGAAATTTCATTCGTGTATTTATCACAACGATCTTCTAAATCAAATTTTTCGGCGAGTTCGCTCTATCGGTCGACTTTCAACTGTAACTATTTTGATCAATCTTTGTCGATAATGCTTTTTTTGCGTCAACCAGTTGTCAGTAGTAACTTACAGTGGAGATTTCATTCTTATTTTCCTTTTGGTTAGTACATACTAACAAACGATGAGTATGAAATATGATCTATTTCATGAAGGTCGATAAATATTCGTACGATAACTCGCACATACTTGGTTTTAATTCCTAGATACTTGATCAATAATAAGAATGAAACAATCTACTTAGTCAGCGTTTAGTTAAGCCAAGATGGCGATCATCTCTGAATGATCACAATACTAATGAAATTCATTTGATGATAACGATATAGGTTGATGTCGGACTAGATTCATTGACAGGTATCATTCATAAATTGTTTTGGAAACATGAGAATTGAAAGAAAAAAAGAATGTATGACATTCTAATTTCGAAAACCATAAATACGAAAGTGTTTACGATTAAATCAACAGCAATGAAAAGAGTAAATAATTTTATAAAATGAGAGAAGACTGAGTAGCATCATAATAGATGACGCTTTCATACTGTGATATATTTGAATCAAATCATATATGCAACTATTGCTCGATTGAAGCAAAACTATGAATCACTATAGATAAGTGTTGATTCTCGTGTATAAATAAATTGTTATTTTTATTTGTGCCTTGTTCTACCCCTTCCTTTTCTTTTCTGTTCTGTATGCTATGAAAAAGAACTAAAAATGAATAAGAATAGCTTTTTCATGTGCCTTTCGTTGATTATTTGTATGTAAATATAGAAAATGTACAGCAAGAATGATAAGGAGACATAAAAAAGAAAGGGGAACAAGTACGTATTTATATAGTGCAACAAAAATGTAGCAATAGAAAATTGTGATGTCTTTCGATCTATTTATTCATTCGTCAATATCAAAAAAATGTATGCGAATGTTTCATTATACTATATCATTTAACGCTATTTACTTGTTTGATGTATTTTTTGCTTTTACTTTTTTTTTGAATATTAAAAATAAATTATTTTGTCAATTAATGTGTGAATAATCGAGACGAGAAAATGTGTGAATGAAAACATTTTCTAGTTGAGCGACAGTTTCTTTTTTGTGAGAAGAGACTAAACACGTAAAAAAAAATAATCATTTCATGGAGCAGATATGTCGTATTTTTCTATTCTGTTTCCAAATTCAATTTTAGATTGTTATAATCTCAAGCACTCTTTGAAACAAACGACATGTCGTGGATAATCGAACCAAGCGATGATGCATCTTCAGCCATTAGCATTCAAGGTAATACCGTTGCTTGTCAGAAAGAAGGTTTCTATGGCAGTCCAATCAACGTCCTTTGGAAAGATCCAGCTGAGAATTCGGGATTATATTATTGGCAAATTGAATTTATACAATTAGATGAACAGGGCAGCGTTAGTGTTGGTCTAACTACACAGGATCATTTCAAAGCTGGTTATGCCATAAAGGCAATAGAATATAATGGTGAGTTAATGAATCTTCATTCAAATCCAAAAATCTCAAGCTCAAAGTATTACTGCTTAAGTTCTCGCTACTTTTAGGTAACTTAGCTGACGGTAGTGCTCTCTTGGTTGGGTCATTTGGTGATCGTATTAAACGAGGTGATAATATTGGCATTTTGCTCAATCTGACTGACAGTGATATGAAAGTGCATTTGTTTCTCAATGAACGACCATTAGGCTTGGCATTCCATGTACAAGCTCCATTCCCCAAACCTTTGTTTCCAGGTGATTATTTATGTCCTTTTTATTAAATATTTAATTTAGTTTTGAATCTCTGTTCTTGATCTAGTCGTTAGCTTCAGTACAAATGGTGAAGCTACAATTGTTCATTCAAAACAAATTCCAACCTCGCTCAATCGACAAGAAGAACACTTCGATGGTATTGAAGGTCACTGGAAACTAGTTGACTACCCGCAACATAGTGACTGTACTGGCTATAATTTTCATCTATTTAAAAAAGATGGAACCGATGATAATATCTACTCTCTTTCGACTCGTGTTATAAACTCTATGACTAACAATCTTACTCATGATTCGTCCACAAATCAATGGAAAAGTCACGGTGGTATGCAAACACTGATGGGAGGAGATCAAGAATCAATGCGAAAGGAAGATGTGATCAGTAAACTGATCAATGGTATAACAGGTATTGAGTTACAAGGACAACAATTGGTTATGACATCGAATGGAAATCAAGTGAAACTTGAACGATATACACCGGAACCTCCAAAAACATACACGAAAAATGTTTTCGCAGGAGAATATTAACTGCCGAATTTACAATTACAAAGAGGACCACATAGTAGTAGAGCTAGTTTCACTTGTAGGTAGAGCTTTTATTGGCATACCCATACATTTGTTTAGTTTAAATAAAATAATTTTTAGTTTAATGTTTTTTTTGCTTATTTGTGTGAGCAAGTACAGTGTTACGGACTATTGGCATTAGTTTGAGAGAAATTTTTGTAATACTAGTGAATACTTGGAGAGGGTATGAATGTGAGTGTGTCTCTTATTTTCACCTACATCCTTGTCTTCATTTGCCATAGACATATGAAGGCAGACAATTTCATTGTGTCTTCAATGTTTCAAGTGGTTATGTGTATAGTTCTGTCATTTTGATTCAAAAATAAATGAGTGATGAAAATATTTGCATGTCACAAATTGTTTCACAACCAAACAAATTTCTGGTAAACGAATATCATTTATTATTTCATGAATTCTAGCTATGGTGAAATACTTTTTTTGATGCGGTCTGTGCATTCTTTGCTGATACGTTGCCAACGATATTGTCCTTCAGACAAGATGTACATATAATAGTAAACATACACATACGGAATACACAAAAAAAAACTATATACACTTTCTTGTCTATCTCTATTTTTATTATTGATAGCAGAACTAACGAAAATAACCTTCGAATTACTTTAGTCAATGACAACGTCTTGTTTGCTACCCTATTGATGGCAAAAAAAAGAAAGAGAAAAGAATACGGTTTGAAATTTTTCTTCATGAGTTGGATATGGTATACATGTGTTGATGATGCAGCATGTTTTTCTTATTGTAAGAGATTAACACCTATGAAGAATCATCATGTACGAATAAATAGATAGTATCATAAAGAATAGTTCATCTCAACTCGTTTAGTAATAATCATTTGGAAATAGACTTGAAAATTCAGCATAATGAAAAATCTTATTTAATGTTTAAAAAGAATCATGATCCTTTACCAAAAGGTAAACAGATATTATATTACGAAAAGAAACATAGCCGATAATCTAAACGATTAGTTGACAACCCTAGTGAATGTACTCATCAAGAGAATACTCGTGCAATACTCACTCTACGTATTTACATTGAGCTTTCAGCGCGAACTTTGCAGCAAACAATAAGCAATATAATGAAGATCGAGTAGCTGTGTGATGTATACGATTATCTGTTTTGGTATTCGATAAATATTTATACTCAGTAAATGTTCAAAGTACGCATTTTAGTAAGATGAGTACTCATGCTGGGAATTTTTTATTTTGGTTTCAGGTGGTTTGTTTGAGTTTAGTTTTCTAATAAACTCAATATTTTTATCAAAGTATTACATTTCATTCTAAAGAACGTGCGCTCACCACAATAATGAATTCACAGCATGAGTACTCATCTTACTCAAATGAGTACTTTGGACATTTACTGAGTATAAATATTTATCGAATACCAAAAGAGATAATCATATACATCACACAGCTACTCGATCTTCATTATATGGCTTATTGTTTGCTGCAAAGCTCGCACTGAAAGCTCAACGTCAATACGTAGAGTGATCATATCTAATTTTTGAGTATTCTCTTGATGAGTACATTCACTAGGGATTGTTGGAACGATCGGATGTATTACGCTTTGCGTACCAAAAAACCATGTTGTAGATAATAATATAGTAATGGTTACTAGCAATATCGAACTTATTATGGAGCATTTTCGTGAACGAAAGATACTAAAACCAAAACATTGAATTAACACACGCTCAATTGACACAAATGCACCACTCCATAAACATAGAATTTGTGCCCAATTCAAAATCATCGAACTTAAACGACAATGAACTAAACTATTTCTATCTAATTCTTGGTTAAAATCAAGGGGGAAACAGCAGAGACTTCAGTCGTGAAGTCCCATGAAATCTTGAAAGTCCTTCGAAGTCTTCTGAAGTCTCATAAAGTCTTATAAAGTCTCATGAAGTCTCATGAAGTCTAATGAAGTCTCATGAAGTCTAATGAAGTCTCACGAAGTCTCATGAAGTCTAATGAAGTCTCATGAAGTCTGATGAAGTCTCATGAAGTCTTATGAAGTCTCATGAAGTCTCTTGAAGTCTCTTGAAGTCTCTTGAAGTCTTTTGAAGTCTAATGAAGTCTCATGGAAGTTTTGAAATACACTTAGTGCATGAAAATTCATAAAAAAGCAATGAAATTGTCTTGTTTTCGACGGTCTTATTTTAGCAGAAAGGTGAACTTTTTATTGTTTGTTTGTCAAGGTACTGGAAAAAAATTCAAGTTTGTTGGATCTTAGAAAACATGATAGTTAAGAACTGAATGCTTTGTGAATGAAGTGGTTTATTTTTATAAGAAATGTTTCATTTATTCGATGTCAATCTTATGAAGAATTTTATTCCTTTTTGTTTATTTCTATCACTCGTGATAATCTATCAGCCGATAAACGGCTAGCTTCGTCGGTCAATAACCAACAAGTCGTTTGCTTGTGTATAAATTTAGTCTTGTTATTTATTTGCACCTGAAAATAGGAGTTTTCCAATGCTGGATTAATCGAATCAAACATACGCATACCAGTAAAGTTTATTTTCTCTGTTTTAATTTCATCAACGCTTTGTGTCATTGTCACATCTTTCTTCTAGATATGGATATACTGCGAGAAACAATTCTCAGAAACAAGAAACACTTTTGTAATCTCTATATGATAAGTTTTGTTTTTTGCATGTTATAGAAATTTCATGTAATTTCTATAAGGTTTTTCGATACGCATGGAATCTGCCTCTTGAAGACCTGTGAAGTCTTGTGAAGTCTCATGAAGTCTAGTGAAGTCTCATGAAGTCTAATGAAGTCTCATAAAGCCTCATGAAGTCTCTTGAAGTCTCTTGAATTCTAATGAAGTCTCATGAAGTCTCATGAAGTCTCATGAAGTCTCTTGAAGTCTCTTGAAATCTCATGAAGTCTCTTGAAGTTTTATGAAGTCTTGTGAAGTCTGATGAAGTCTTATAAAGTCTCAAGAAGTCCTACAAAGTCTCTGTAGTCTCATGAAATCCGTGAAGTCTAATGAAGTCCGTGAAGTCTCACGAAGTCTGTGAAGTCTAACGAAGTCTTTTGAAGTCCCATGAAGTCTCATGAAGTCTTATGAAGTCATACGAAGTCTTATAAAGTCTTGTGAAGTCATTTGGAGTCCTATGAAGTCTTCAGAACTCTTTAGAACTCTTTTGAAGTCTTGTGAAAATATGAAGTCACTGCGGTTGAAGTCTGTTGAAGTCTTTTGAAGTCTTGAAGTCTTGAAGTCCGCTGTTTCCCCCTTGGTTAAAATACAATGTGACAATAACTCGTAGATAAAAAACGCTCATTTCAAGTAAACTTGTAAGAGAAAAAAGTAACAGATAGATTCCACATGATGTAATTCGAATTTTCTTTTGAAGCAAAGTTTCGATCATTAGTAAATTCAGAATGATAGAAGTTGTAAATTGTATTGAAGCTACACTCATATAGATTATTTCCAATACTAACTTCCATTTCGATGATTCTTGTCGAAGTATATCAATTGACGCTGAAGCTGGCATTGAATAACGCAGATAATTATTGAACTGACTTGCATTGCACATCATGAAACCACTGCTATTGTCACTCATTATTTTTTAGCCACCTCTATTCGTCACCGAAAATATTAGTACATGAATCCGCCTTCTGTAGATTATTATGTAGAATAAATGAGAAAGTTATACCTGATCTCGCTCATTTTCTGTATTAGGAAGTGAAATAAATGCTTCGTAAATAAAAATATATTACTGCTTTTTTTTATGACCTTATATTTCAATAGAGCTGCTTTGTAATTTAATGTTAGTAGCAGTGTACTTTCACTTTCCTCTCCTTCCTTTAAAAAGTAACGAGTAGACCATAATTAAAGCATCTATCGATATTTTGTATATATCTCACCTATGTGTCAAGATGGAAAAGAATATTTTCTTTTAGCAAAAGATTCCTCATTTGATTCTCTATAAAACTGCATATTTCACTTAGTTCTAATGGTATCTGTAGTTTTATAAAAACACAATCAGACTGGTTTGTTAAGAATGATCAACTTTTCCTACCATGTTTATTTTATCATTTTTTTTTATACTACATGTTTTAATGTCTGAATCAATTTTAATTTCAATCTCGCCATATTTCAGACCACAATTGATATAAATCTAGCGCTCACAATGTACTAAGGGTAGTTCAAAACTGCACTGTTTGCATATAAATGAAAATGATGTGAACGCAGGTAAAGTGTTTGATGCAGCAGATGTTAGATCAGACAATGATTCTGAATATGTTTTGATTTGCTCATGCTTTTAGTTGCATTTAATGGAATATTGAGTGTCTTCCATTTCGTCAGAAAGTGCCATTGCTGTTTGAGTCGTAAAAAGAGAAAAAGATCTTAAAGGCATGACTAAAAGCATGAGTAAATCAAAACATAATCAGAATCATTGCCTTATCCAACATGTATGTTTTAACAGGCATCATATCTTGCCGGCTGAAGTGTTCGAATTGTTTACTCTGATCTTCTTTCTCATGTGAATCCAATCACATTTATGCAAATAAACGATCATAACCACTTTTCCTTCCTTGTGCTACACTTGTGTTTGTTGTCCACTACGGAGAAGGAAGAAATATTCGTTTCTATTCGTCTGCATCTGTCTATTGTTCAAATTCATCGAATGAATATATAATGGCGAAATAAAATGCTCTTTCTCTTTATCGACGAAACATTTTTCTTCGAATACCTAAATTTGTTTCATTCTTATTTTTAAAAATCATGGAAGACAGTATTGATCATTACCCTTCAAAACTATTCAAGATCACTGAAAAACAAAGTAAGACTTTTTTCTGTCTATCTAAACATTAACACATCATCTGAATTTCTATACTAAAGGTCGTCATTCAACATTTGAGTGCCTTTCAAGTGAACTAATTCTCGATCTATTCGAATATTTCAATACGAAAGAAATTCTACAATACTTCTTCAAT